CGTATCCGTCTCTTCTAAGTTTTCAAATTTGTTGCAGTCCAATGCTTCATAGTATTCTTTTATTATCCTTTTGATTTCCTTCGGTTCCATTGTGACATCACCCATGTGGTTTCTGAAGCATGTTATTTGTGTCTTCTCCCTCTTTTCTTTTGTTAGGCTTGCCAATGGTCTGTCAATTTTGTTAATTCTTTCAAAGAACCAGCTTCTTGTCCTGTTGATTGTTTCTGTAGTTTTTCTGTTTTCTAGCTCATTAATTTCTGCTCTAATGTTTATTATTTCTTTTTTTTTGGTGGCTGTAGGTTCCCTCTGTTGGTCTGTTTCTAATTGTTGTATATTCTGTATTAATGTGTTGATTTTGGTTCTTTCTTCCTTTTGGATGTGTGGGTTTATTCCTAAATACTTTTTTAAAAACCTTCAAAAATGGTATTTATAAGAAAACAAAACAGGACATCTTTTCAGAAGGCTGAGAAGCATTACTTTGGCAGAGCTGAGTCTAGAATCTGGGTCTCCAGACTCCCAGCCCAATGAGAGGCAGTAGTGGATTGTAGAAAGCATATCCTCCAGGTCAGACTTCCTGGGTGGAGATCCCGACTCATTTGCTATTTCCTAAACCCAGATCCACACATTGCCCCCTGGCATCTGTTGTGGGAAACAAAAAGGGGTTTGTGGGCACCCAGAACAGGGTGTGATGATGATTCTCACTCCTCAGTCCCTTGGGTTCCTAGAGACTTTAGAATAGCCTCTCTGAAAGATGAGCTTTGTCGAGGGGATGCCCAGTTGTGATTGTGAGGAGGCCAAATGAGGCCGTCTGCCACACTCTGTATCTTCCCCTCCAAGCACAGCTAAGGACAGGTTTGTGGGTTGCTGGTGCTCTTGACCAAGGTGAGGGTGGCAAAGATCAACATGCTGCCTAGGTCTTACTTCTACTCTCAGTGCTAATGAGAAGGAACAGGAAGAGTATGGCACATACCCTGGGTGCTGCTTGAGGGGGGTACCAGTGAGCAGTTTCTATTGGCCATTGCAGTTTCCATCACCAGCTGCAAGAGATCATTCATCCAAGTGAAAACTAATTGCCAAAGGTGTCCCTTTCTGTAGATATGCCTCTGGAGGCAAGTGCCAAGCAATCATCTGGTTGGAAGCTATTGTAATGTCCTGGATTCCATCTAGCTCTAAGGCCATTTTCCTGCCAGACTTCATGGCCCCTGCTTGGCTCTGAGGCTCCAGAATAGGCCAGAGAAGCCTCAGGAACCAGATACTCAAGCTGTCCAGAGTTGGCATGTCAGTAGCTGCCCATGACTGGGGAGAAATCTGGTCCATCCTGGCTCTGGGATTCTGCTTCATGCAGATCCCGGAAGGTTCTCTGCAAACAGGCAAGGACCAGGAACAGAGAAAGAGATACAGATACCTGTCACACTGCCACATAACAATCAAGGGAAGAGCCCTCTTTTCCGTCATACTTAGATGCATGATGTAGAACTAGACCTATTTTTTTTTTTTTTTAGTTAGAGAATATGTTTGACAAATTTGGTTGGTTACTGTGGTACCTACACGTGACTCACGCCTGTAACCACTTCACAAGGAACTGCTGGGGCCTCAGTTGTTGCTATGTCTGTCAAATCATCTGCCAACACATGGTGAGCCCATTCACAGAAGGATCAGACCATTGGGATTGTTCAGAAGTAGAATGTCAGGCATTTCTTCTGCTGGGCCCCAGAAGCAACATGAAAACCAGCTCAAAACTAGGCATCTGGTACTCAAGACTTGACTTACCCCCAGTTCTGGACCTAACCTGATTTCCAGCAACCCTGCCCTAAGGTCTCAAACAGATTGAAACACTGCCCAGTCCTGTACCATCTTCAAAATCTTTGCTATGTCTGAACTCACTGTAGCAGTCATGTGTCCTCCTGATTTTCTTCTCCAGGGATTGTACCCTCTTGGTAACATGCCCAAGTACATGATATGAAGTCTCTCCATCCTCTCTTCTAAGGAGGATTCCATTTGCACTTCTTCCAAGATAGATTTTGTTCTTCTGAAAATCCATGGTATATTCAACATTCTTCCCCATACCATAATTCAAATGCATCAGTTCTTCTTTAGTCTTCCGTATTCATTCTCCAGCTTCTGCATGCATATAAGGCGATTGATAATACCATGGCATAGCCTTCAAAGTGGTATCTTTGCTTTTGAAAACATTAAAGAGGTCTTTTGCAGTGTTTGATTTTTACATCATTTGATTTCTTGATTACTACTTCCATGAGTGTTGATTGTGGATCCAAGTAAAATGAAATACTTGACAATTTCCGTCGTTTCTCCCTTTATCCTGATGTTGCTTATCAGTCCAGTTGTGAGGAGTTTTGTTTCCTTTATTTTAAGGTATAATCTAAACTAAAGGCTATTATCTTTTACCTTCAAGTCCTCTTCACATTCAGCAAGCAAGGTTGTGTCATTTGCATATCACAAGTTGTTAATGGCTCTTCTTACAATTCTTTCTTCTTTGTAAAGTCCAGCTTTTCAGATTATTTGAATGGTGAAAGAATACAACTTTGACGTATACCTTTCCTGATTTTAAACTATACAGTATTCCCTTATTCTGTCCCAATGACTGTCTTTTGGTCTATGTTCTATGTAAGGATTCCACATGAGCACAATTAAGTGTTCTGGAATTCCCATTCTTGGCAATGTTGCCCAAAAATTGTGAATATCCACAGTCAAATGTCTTGCATAGTCAACAAAACACAGATAAGCATCTTTCTGGTAGTCTCTGCTTTCAGCCAAGATCCATTCCATGTACTCTTTTAAATACAGCTTCAATTGGCATTTCTTCAATTTCTGGAGGCTTGTGTCTCACCATTGCCTTAAACATAGTTTGGAATTCTTGCTTTAATACCATTGGTTCGCAAGTGTATGCTACCTTCTAAAATGGTTGAATGTCAACTAATGCTTTCTGTGACTCTGTGTATTCCTTATATTGTCTTTTTCTGTTTTCTATGTCCTTCAGGTTTTTTTTTTTTTTAATCTATGGAATTCTTCAATATTGCAACTCTAACTGCTTAAATAATTTGTCCTGAGCCATTAAACTAGAAAGAGGCAGAACTGAAATTCTCTTTGCCCTGAACCTCTTCCCATTGGGACCTGGGGAGTGAACAGGTAATATAGTAAACAACCTTGCTGATAATTTTCAGGAGAAATCAGCCAGGAGTACATGTGCATTTTAGTGGGACTGTCTACACTGAGCCTCCACATGGGATTGTCAGGAGTCAGAAGCGACTCCATAGCATTTAGAAAATAGCATTTTAGGAGTTCCCAGGAGATGCAAATGATTAAGACACTCAGCTGCTAAACAAAAGGTTGGCAGTTTGAATCCACCCAGAGAGGCTCCTCAGAAGAGAAGTCTGGCAAAGTACTTCTATAAAAACCAGTCATTGGCAACCCTGTGGAGCATAATTCTACTCTAACACACATGAAGTCAGCATGTGTTGGACTTGACTTGACAGTAACTGGAATTGGATAGCATTTTAAAGTCTAGGCAGATGGGGAAGAAGAGCCTTAGCATCCGGCAGCATACACCAGGTCTATGACCAGATAAACATGACTCTATTGTGCTGCTGGTAGTGTAGTGGTTACAAATCGGGCTGCTATCCTCAGGGTCAGCAGTTCGAAACTATCAGCTGTTCCGTGGGAGAAAGATGAGGCTTTCTGCTCACGTAAAGATTTACAGCCTCAGAAACTCTGTACAGGGTCTCTATGAGTTGGAACCCACTCCACGGCACATAACAACAACAACATTGTGCCACTGTGGGATCAACATTGGACTGAGAAACACAAGATAGGCAGTTCAAACCCACCAGTGACTCCTTGGAAACCCTACTCAGGGTCATTACGAGTTGAAATGCACTCAATGGCACTTAACAACAACAGTTGGAATTAGGGAATGCTCAATGCTTGATCTTTCTGACACATGAAGTAATCATGGTGGCCCACTTTGGAGATATCACTACACCTGTCAAAGCCAACATGGAGGCCAACCATGATGGTAGTGGTGCAGATGATGATCCTCTGAGTAACACTCATTGCAGCTTTGTCTACAAAAAGTCTAAGGCTTACACAAAGGAAAAGGACTACACAGGGGGCCTTTCCACACTTACCTAGAACCTTGCAGGCCTCTTGAATAAGCTTAATGGTGATGATATCATCATACACTGTATACGTCATGAAGGTATCTTGTACTTCTGCAGAAGCTCTGCAAGAGAAATCAAGGCACAATGAATCAACTGGAGCTTAGCACCAGGGACATAGCCACAGACAAAGCAAGATATAATAAGGCGCAAAGATTGTAAGGAGTGTTAGTCACTGGAGTGTTCTAGGGCCAGCTCCTCAAAGAAGCCTGCTTTGGACGTGTTTGCACCAAAAGCCTCCTGCTCCAAGTTCCCACAGTATGTGTATTCCCCAACTGATATTAAGGAGCCTAGCCTGATTCCTTGAGGGTGGATTTCTTTTTACCTGTGCTGAGTGACCTCCAGCTAGTGGCACAAGGTAAGAATGTGAACTTGGCCCTGAATTGTGGTGGGTTCTTATTGTCTGAGGCAGGGAGACAATTGGTCTGGAAGCAGTGAACCAACCCTGGAGAGAAGAGACCTGGCGTAACTGTAGTTAGCAATTCAGTCAACCCAGGAGCGTGAGGAGGCCCAGGAATGCTTCTCAGAGAAAGGAGCTTTAAATGAGAATGCAGAGGCAAAGAGCATTGTGGAAAGAGAGAATAATGCTTTTAAAGGATTTGAGGCAGCAGAATTGAGCTCTGGTGGACCTGTAGGATAGGCCACATGATCAGCATTTCAAATTCACCAGCCACTCCATGGGTGAAAGAAGAGGCTATCTGCTGAAGAGCTAGAGCAACAGATGATACATCTTCAAAGAAAGATCATCAGGAAAAACCCAAAACAAAAATGGCAGTAGGACTGGCTACTACAAGAATAAGCAAGTGGTTCACCAGGAAGCCTTCAAGGCAAGTCATCAAGTTACTTCAGGACAAACCCTCTCTAAAACTGAAACTCAAAGGGAACACATGAGCAGGCATGTAAACTTGCTGGTGCCCATGTTAGTCTACTGGTGAGTGGAAGAGGGGGAAATGCAGCAATGAAGAAATGGGCTGAGTTCAACCATATTCCACAGACTCCTTTGGACCTGGAGATGAGAGAGAGAAGAAGGGCTGATTGGTCCAAAATATGGTGAGACCTGGGGACACCTGAGCCTATGGACAAGGACATAGCCACAGAGGTCTAGAGTTAAAAGTGAAGCATCCAGATGATATGAAGTGAGAGGGGTCGCACAAGAACACTCAAACTTGCAAATAGTACCCATTTGACCTAGCCTTGATGGCTTGATAATCAGAACTTGACTAGAGGAAGATAGAAACAAACAATTTTTTATAAAGGAGACAAGGGTAAATTGCTACAATTTGATGAACCTTACCTACACTCATGGAGGAAGTAACTATAAATACCAACAGAAAGGGAAGGAGTCTTCACATCAAATATCAATGTTATCCCCTCTGTACACAGGGCAGATAGAGATGGGCAACTTAGAAATTGGCTGTCTAAAATGAGCGGGTGATAAAGGCATGAAGTGACTGGCTTACAAGATTTCAAGGGGGAGTACAGTTTAATAGTGTGTGGGGAAAGAAACCATCCTCACTAAATACTTTTCTGGATTCAGAAGAGGACGTGGAATGTGGGATATCATTGCTAATGTCAGATGGATCTTGGCTGAAAGCAGAGAATACCAGAAAGATGTTTGCCTATGCTTTATTGACTATTCAAAGGCTTTCAGTTGTGTGGGTCATTAAAAGCTATGGTCAACATTGAGGAGAAGGAGTATTCCTGAACACTTAATTGTGCTCATGAGAAAGCTGTACATAGACCAAGACGAAATTGTTCAAATAGAACAAGGGAACACTGAATGGTTTAAAATTAGGAAAGGTGTGCACCAGGGTTGCGTTCTTTCACAATACTTCTTCAATTTGTATGCTGAGCTAATGATGCGAGATGCTGGATTATATGAAGGAAAATGTGGCATCAAAATTTGAGGAAGACTCATTAGCAATCTGCAATATGCAGTTAATTACTAGATTACTGGAAATGGAACCGCCAGAGCAGAAATATTGAGACTATCACAAATTATGAAGAATGTCACTGAACAATATCTATAGGGATTGTTAAGTGGGGACGTCAATTGCTGTATAAACCTTCACCAAAAATACACAAAAAAAATTTGAAAAAACAAACCCATTACTTTCTATTAATAAACAAATATATATATAAACTATGAATTACACCAGAATAATGTCCAATGAGGTGCTAGAAGATGAGCTTCTAGGTCGGAAGACACTCAAAATACACAGTGACCCCAACAGTGGACGCCAGCTCACCAACAACCATGGTGTACAACACCAGCCACTGACTGTTACTGAGCCAACCCTGACTCATAACAACCCTATAGGACAGGGTATAGGTATGCTCCTTAGTGTCTCCAAAACTCTAAATCTTTAAGGGAGCAGACTGCCTCATCTTTCTCCCATGGAGCAGTTGGAGGGTTTGAGCCACTGACCTTGAGGTTAGCAGCCCAACACTTAACCCATATTATCACCAGAGCTCTTCTGAAGCTGATGCAGGACTGAGCAATGTGTGTTTCTGTTTTACATGGGCTTAGCTAACAACAACAACAACAACAACCATGTCCTGGTGTGGCACTGTGGGTTAATGTGTCAGACTGCAAAGCGCTTTGAACTGCAAATTTGGTGGTTCAAGCTCACCAGCTGTTCCTCAGAAATCCTATACAGGGTTGCTATGGGTCGGAGTTGACTCGACAGCAATTAACAACAACACCACCATGAGTCAAGGTCAGCTCAACAGCAACTGGTGGTGGTGGTGGTTATGTGCGGTGGAGTAGATTCTGACTCATAGCGATCCTACATAGGGTTTCCAAGGCGGTAGATCTTTAAGGGAGCAAAAAGCCTCATCTTTCTCCCGCGGAACTGCTGGTTAGTTTTGAACTGCTGCCTTGAGGTTAGCACTACGCTATCAGAGCTCCTTCAATGGCAACTAACAACAACAAATTCATTCCTAACTCTGTCCTTTCCTGGACTTGCCCACTCCTTTCTCTTTATGGACTGTATTAATCCTCCTTGCAAAATGGAGTGATCATATCTGTTGCACCTCATACAAGTGAGCCTGGGTGGATGGGTAACGGAAATGAAAGAGCTCGGAGAACATGTAAGCCACCATGGGTATGCCAAGAGGTGCTGCCGTGATCCTGATGACAAGGAAACAGCACGGAGACCCGGTTCCAGAGCTTTACCTATCACAGATGTCCTCTGAGGGAAAATCACTTCCTCTCTCTTCTTGTTGTTTTTAAGTGCCATCGAGTCGAGTTGGTTCTGACTCATAGTGACCCTGTATAGGGTTTCTGAGGAATAGCTGGTGAGCTTGAACTGTCAACCTTGCAGTTCAAACCAACTTTGCAGTCTGGAGCATTAATCCACAATACCACACCAGGACTCCTCATCTTTTTAGGCCCCAATTTTTTTTTATCCTGTGATAAGAAACCATCACCCATCTGTCATTTTGTCATACTGTGGTGGCTTGTGTGTTGCTGTGATGTGGAAGTGATTCCACCATTATTTCAAATACTGTCAGGGTCACCTAAGGTGGACAGGTTTCAGTGGAGATTCCAAATTAAGACAGACCAGGAAGAAAGATCTGGCAATCTAATTCTGAAAATCAGCCAATGAAAACCCTGTGAATCACTGAAGAATATTGTCCAATATAGTGTTAGACGATGAGGCACTCAAAATGCCTCCACCAATGGACTTGTGCATGCCAGTGATTGTGAAGACGGTGTGGGGCCAGACAACATTCTGTTCTGTTGTACGTGGCGCTGGCTGATTCTTTGGCAACTAAACGACAGTAAGATCAGTGTTCCTCTATTTAAAATAAAACCATGGTCCTCCCAAATACACATTCAATGCGATTTTCAAATATCCCAGAAGCCCTTGTTTTATGGGAACAGAGGATTTATGGGAACAAGCGCTCTAGTTCCTCTCCTCTCGCGAGAGGCCCTACTTTGATAATTATGGAGTATGCAACGGTTCAAAAAAGCTGAATGTGGGGCTCGGGACAGAAAACAAAGGTGTGAACACAAAGAACGCTCTCTGCCCTGGGCTGCTCTCTGCCATGATCTGCCTCCTCTCCACCCACCTGCCCAGGTCCTGTGGGCCTCTGTGAAAATGTGTGCATTTGAACTTGACATTCGGTCTTCATTTGTTCTGAAGAACTATCTCCAGGACTCTTGAGAACGTAGCATCTGTAGCCCAGCCCCCTTGTGGGACAACCCATTCAGTCCTCTTTGGCCTTGGCAGCCTTTTCATTTCTGGAAGCTGAACTGATCATGCTTTGTTTGTCTGAAATTTACTTGGGTTTGTATATGTGTTCCACATTGGTGCAAAGCCAGACAAGCTCAGATTGCTCTGGTTACAGGAATTGTCTTCAGCCTTGTTTATTAACTGCTGCGTTGGTTCAAACTGCCTCAGTGAAACAGTATGTTCACTAAAAATAAAAATGTATCTAATATTTTCTAATAAGATGGCAATCTCATTCCCTTCTAATAAGAAGGGGAAAAAATAGCTATTAGAAAACTTTTTGAAGAGACTGGAGTTTGAAAAAGGAACAAGGGTGAGAAATGGAGCGTCCAGCTCACGCAGTTCATGGATGTGAAAAGTGTCAACCACATGAGATGGTCACATGTACACCAGGCAGGAGCTCTGGTGAATCAGTAGTTTAATTTAAAAAACTAGGCACTAAATCTTTAATTAGTTACAACTAACCCATTGTCATCAAGTTGACTCCAACTCAAGATGATCTCATGTGTGTCAGAGTACAACTGTGCCACAGCGTTTCCAATGACTGCTTTTCAGGAGTAGATCACCAGGTCTTTCTTCCAAGTGTCTCCAGGTGAATTCAAACTGGCAACCTTTTGTTTAGTAGCTAAGCACTTACCCACTTGCACCACCAAGGAACTCCTAGTTCTAACTGTTAAGTTGTTAAGTGAGGTCGAGTTGGTTCTGACTCATAGCTACCTTATATAAGGTTTCTGAGGAGCAGCTGGTGGGTTTGAACTGCTGACCTTTGGTTCACAGTTCAATGCTGATCCTGCAGAGCTACACCTAGGGAGTCCTAACTAGGGACA